GGCGGGAAGGTGAACGGCAACATCGCTGATGCGTCTTAGGTTTGCACTGGTCCTCTTCCTCCTCCTCCTTCTCCTTCCCCTCCTGTCCTTCCCCTGCCGCTTCCCGCTAATTGTTCTCCTCGTCCTCCTCCTCCACCCCTGCTCGTTATACATGGCTCCTCCCTGTCGTACCCCACACATGTGGGTGGGGCGGGCTGGGCGTTTCGCCTGAAACGTCCTCTCCACCCATAATCATTGATCCTGAAGCTTGAATTTGCAGCAGTTTCAAGGACGGGGGGCGGGCCGTTTTCAAAATGTGGCTCTGGCCTTCGCGTCGCGCACATGCGTTTAAAACTTTGCAGCAGTTTCAAGGATGGAAGGCCGATCGTTTTCAACTTGTCGTCCTTGCCGTAGCGCCGCGCACATTCGTTTCGAACGTGCTCAAGACTTTCACAAATTCGGGCCAGTTCCTTTTCGAAGTGTGACTCTCGCCCTGGCGCCACACGCGTTCGTTTTAGCAGTGTGCAGGAGTGCCACGGATGATAGGCGGGCCGTTCTCAAAACATTGCTGACGCCTCCTTGCGCTGGACGCACTCGTCCTAAAGGTGTGCAAGGGCTGCACGGATGGAGGGCAGCTCCTTTTCAAAGTGCGGCTCCCGCCTCAAGACGCATTCGCCCTAAAAGTGTGCGACAGCTTCACGGGTGGAGGGCGGTGCTTCTTAAACATGTGGTTCTCGCCTTTTGCCGCCAGGCACAGTCGTCTTTAAACTCGACCGCAAGTTAACGGAGTAGTATGGCTGACGCCCCAGGAATTGTGTTCCAGCACAGAATTGGATTGTTAGGGCGCAGCAGTCATGTTGACTCGCTGTGTCAAAATCCCCGGATGGGTGTTCTGGCACAGTGCAGGATCGCCAGGACGCAACAATAACGTTGATTCGCGGCGTTGGAATGTTCTGGCACGACTGAAGACTCTCAGACGGTTGTCATCCAACAGGGCATTTCCAACATTGAGAATGAATTCTTGTAGGGACCTCTACACAATGAAATTGGCGGGAAGGTGAACGGCAACATCGCTGATGCGTCTTAGGTTTGCACTGGTCCTCTTCCTCCTCCACCTTCTCCTTCCCCTCCTGTCCTTCCCCTGCCGCTTCCCGCTAATTGTTCTCCTCGTCCTCCTCCTCCACCCCTGCTCGTTATACATGGCTCCTCCCTGTCGTACCCCACACATGTGGGTGGGGCGGGCTGGGCGTTTCGCCTGAAACGTCCTCGCCACCCATAATCATTGATCCTGAAGCTTGAATTTGCAACAGTTTCAAGGACGGGGGGCGGGCCGTTTTCAAAATGTGGCTCTGGCCTTCGCGTCGCGCACATGCGTTTAAAACTTTGCAGCAGTTTCAAGGATGGAAGGCCGATCGTTTTCAACTTGTCGTCCTTGCCGTAGCGCCGCGCGCATTCGTCTGCAAAGTGTGCTTCATCAGCTTCACGGGTGTCGGGCGGGTCTTTCTCAAAATGCGCTTATCGCCTTAGCGCCACGCGCACTCGACGTAAACGTAGGTAACTGCTTCAAATGCGTAAAACGGCTCATTTTCCATATGTGGCTCTCACCTGTGCGCCGCGCACATTCGTCTTAAAAGTTTGCAACCGGTTCGAAGGCTCGTATGGCTGAAGTCCCAGGAACTATGTAATGGCACGACCTAGGATAGCCAGGACGCAGCTGTCACGTTGACTTGCGGTGCTAATGTTTCAGGACGGCACTTGTGGCATAATCTACGACTGTCGGGGCGCAACAATCGCGTGTATTCGAAGCGCTGAAGTCCCAAGAAGGGCGTCTTGGGACGATTGAGGATTCTCAGGCGATTGTCTTCCTATGGAACACTGCCAATGATGAGCACAAACTCTTGTAGAGTCCGATGAAGAGGGAACTTGGAGGGAAGGTTTATTGCAACATCGCTGGTGCGTCTCGGGTTTACACCGGTCTTCCTCATCCTTCCTCCTCCTCCCCCTCCCTCCCTCCGTTCTCCTTCTCCTCCTCGTCCTCCTCTTCCTCCTCCTTTTCCGTCATTCTCCTCCTACCCCTCCTCCTCCTCCTCCTCCCCCTCCCCTCCGCTCCCTGCCGCCTCTCGTTATCATTTTCCTCCTCCTCCTCCTACTCCTGGTCCTCCTCCTCCTCCTCCTCCTCCTCCTCCTCCTCCTCCTCCTCCCCTTCTCCTCCATTCCTTCCTTGAAAATGACTCCTCCCTGTCGCACCCCTAGACTTGCTGGTAGGGCGGGCTGGGCGTTTCGCCTGAGACCTTCGCACCAGCTAGGATCCTGAAACTTCACAAATCCAACAACTTCGCGGATGGAGGGCCGGTCGTTTTCAACATGTGGCTCTCGCCTTAGTGCCGCGCGCATTCGTCTTAAAAGTTCGCAATAAGAATGGGCGACGGCCCGTTTTCCAAATGTGGTTCTCGCCCCAGCGCAGCGCACATTCGTCTTCAAAGTTCGCATCAGTGTCTCAAAGATGGAGGGCGGTTCTGTTTCAAAATGCTGCTATAGACTTATCGCCGCGCACACTCGTCTCAAAAGTGTACCACTGTTTCAAGAAATCACATGGTTGAATTCAGAGGACATGTGTTCTGTCACGACTTAAGGTTTTCAGGGAGCAACTCACATGGGCTCGCAGTGCTCAAGTCCCAGGAACCGTGCTCTGGCACGATTTAGGATTATCAGGACGCAACAGGCACGTTGATCCGCGGCGTTGAAATCCCAGGAAGAATGCTTCAGCACGATTGAGGATTCTCAGATGGTTGTCTTCGAACGGGCCACTTCCCGCACTGAAAATAATTTCCTGTAGAGACCTATGGAGGGGAACCTTGGAGGAAGGGTTCATTGCAGCATCGTGGATGCCTCTTGGGCTTACACTGGTCCTTCTCATCTTCCTCTTCCTCCTCTTCCTCCTCTTCCTCCTCTTCGTCTTCCTCCTTCTTCTCCTCCCCGCGCTGCTCCTCCCGCCGCTCCTCCCCCTGTCGCTGTCGCTGGTGGCGGGTTCGTCTACAGGGGACTGACGCCATCGCCTCCCGTCCTCCTCCTCCTCATTTTCCTACTCCTCCCTTTCCTGCCTTTCGTCCACCTCCTCCTCCCCCTCCTCATCATCATCACCACCACCATCACCATCATCATCATCATGATCAGCATCATCAGCATCAACGTCATCTTCACCGTCGTCGTCGTGATCCTCATCATCATCGACATGACCATCAGCATCGTCATCATCAGCATCATCATTACCACCACTACCATCATCGTCATCATCGTCATCCTCGTCGTCATCGTCATCGGAAGCATGATCATCATCGAATCATCATCATGATGACCATCAGCATCATCATCACCACCATATGTATCACCATCACCATAACCATTACCAACATCGTCATCACCATCACCGCCATCATCACCATCATCAGCATCATCAACATCATCATAATCGGAATCATAGTCACCATCGTCATCGTCAAATATCATCATCAGCATCACCATCATAAGCATCATCATCACCATCGTCATCATCACCATCATCACCAATCATCACCAATCATCATCAGCGTCGTCATCATCATCACCACCAAGATCATCACACTCATCATCATGACCGTCGTCAACACCACCACCACCATCATTATCATCATCATCATCATCATCATCATCATCATCATCATCACCATCGTCGTCATCATGATCTCGACCCTCATGATTCATGACCTGGTCCTGAGGCAGATCTCCGTCCTGACCCGCATCCTGGATCTCATCGTCCTGATCCTCAAGATCATCATCGCGATCCCCTCGTCGTCATGGGGCATGGGTCTAGGACGCCCAGCCGTATGATCCGTAGCAATCACCTTCGTCTTCACCACCACCGCCACCACCACCATCATCAGCACCACTATCTTCAACAACACCATTCGGCGGTGGACAAACCTCCCTTTAGTAAACCTCCCTTTAGGGAAAACTACCTAGGACCGAAACCGACGGACCTAGACACGCAAAAATAACGGCCGCGACGCCCTCTCGCGAACCGAAAACGGCCAATTCACTAATCGACGTGTCAGGGTAGGAGGTCTGTCCACCTCCGAACCATCATGGCCATTAGCATCAAAGCGGGAGCCGATGCTGTCGAGCGCCGAGCGAGTTGCTCTCTTCTTCTTGAGGTCATGTAGGTATCAACTTCATCCTCGCCAACGTCATCGTCGTCGCCGAGGTGGTCGTCATCGTCGCCACCATCGTCGTCAGCATCGTCATGTTCACAATCATCATGGTCGTCACTGTCGTGCTGATTATCCGGCGGATGCCCCTCCTTATCCTCCTCCTCCTCCTCCTCCTCGGCCTCCTCCTCATCATCAGATTCCCCTGAACCACCCTGCTCCTCCTTATCAAGTTTGCCCCTCCTGGTCCTGCTGCTGTCCTCTTCCCTCCTCCTCCTCCTCCTCCTCCTCCTCCTCCTCCTCCTCCTCCTCCTCCTCCTCCTCTTGCTCTCCCCCTACCCGCTCCGATAGGCGGTCTCAGGAAGCGTCTCTCTCCTCTCGGCGGCGCCTTCGACTCACTCTCGGGGCGATTTGATCGAGGGATCGGTGTGGGGGCAGGGGAAGGGGCAATGGAAGAGGAACGGAGGAGGAGTTGGGAGGAGGAACGGGGGCGGAGCGGGGAGGAGGGTGGCCAAAAAGGTGGAGGAGGGAGGTTGAGGGTGAGGAGGAGGAGGAGGAGAGGAGAGGAAGAAGGAGGAATAGAGAGAGGAGGAGGAGGAGGAGGAGGAGGAGGAGGAGGAAGAGGAGGAGGACGAGGAAGAGGAGAGGCTTGAAGTGGTATGGCTTTGGGGCGCCTTAGCCCCGTTGTGGTCGGACAAGAGACCCGGCGCGCCGCCCTGGTGTTTGACTGGCCGACTGCCTCATCCCCTTGTGGGGGCGGGTGGTCGCCCTACACGAGCCTGACTAAGGAGGACGAGGAGGAGGAGGAGGTGAGGAGGAGGAGTAGACGAGGAGGAGGAGGAGGAGGAGGAGGAGGAGGAGGAGTAGACGAGCGCGTTCCACTACTCGCAGAGTAACCACTCGCAGATGGCCTGGATCCGCCGCGGGGGCCTGACGATCCGTTGCATCGAGGCGAGCGTGTCTTTCGCACGCTTGCGAGCACGCAGTTTGCGAGTAGTGGAACGCGCTCGGTGAAGAAGGACGACGACGAAGGAGGACGCGGAGGAGGAGGAGGAGGAGGAGAAGAAAGAGGACTAATACTTATGTAGCCTCTCTGGGGAACTTCGCACTGACCGTCGCGACCTCCGAAAACTACCATGCAGCGGCATTTCGGGGCCACCAGCGGCTTGTAGCAGCCACTAGCGGCCTCTGGCGCGGACGACTCGCGGCCACCAGCGGCCATTTATAGAAGAAGAAAACACACACACACACACACACACACACACACACACACACGCATAAACATGAAGTGTTGGCGCTCCGCGCGGATTTCTGGGATCCGCGCGGAGCGCCATACGTTTATGTTTATAACGTTTTTACTAGTCGAATGTAGCGGCCATCCAGCGCCCATCTAGCGGTCACGAGTACACGTCGTTCATTTCTGATCGTGCTCATTTCAAGTTGTGCTCGTCTCTAATTGCTCCTGGCCCCCCAGTGATCTGGAAAAGGCCCAGGATAGAACAATTAGAAACGAAAGGATATCTTGAAGGTTGCTGGGGGGCAGCGTTGTTTCCAAGGCCAGATCCCCGTAGGCTCGGCGGGCGCGCTTGATCGGTCAACGGCAATCCTTGCAGCCGCCCTTCGTGAGAAGCTCTGCTTTCAGGTCTGCGATTGCCGGCGATGGGGCTGCTCCTGCTTACCCTTGCCCTACAAAAGCATTGCCCTCTCCCCCGTCGGCCCAGAAACAAAGATCGCGCTCGCTGCCCCTCAGCGAGCTTCAAAGGATAGCGGCCCCCAGACAAAATCAAAGAACTTTCGAAGAATTAGACTAGAAACGGATAATGTGTACAGTCGGGGCGTTGACCTAAGGAACCCTGAATAAGGAACGAGGCCCCTTTTCTCCATAAGTTAAACTTCGATCTCCCATCGAAAACATTAGGAAACCCTGAGCCAAGCTGCGAAACACTTAAGGAACGCGGAGCCCCTCCCCAACGAACAGGGTTCCTTCTTCAGCGCCCCGATTGTATTGGCCGCCAAACCAAATCACAGAACTTTCGAAGAATTAGACTCGAAACGGACAATGTGTGATGCCATTCCGCGGCCTGCCGCGGTAGTGCGCGGCTCTTCGGCGGCACTCCGTGGCCACTGGCGGCCCGCCGCGCGGCTGGGACCGCCGACCCCCCGCGGAGCCACGGGCGCGCGCGCCGCTGAGTGCCGCTGGTGCTCGGAGAGGACACCATTCGAATACAGTCGGGGCGTTGACCTAAGGAGCCTTACATAAGGAACGAGGCCTCTTTTTCCCATAAGTTCAACCTCGGTCCTCGGAGAGGCGCGCGTGCCGCTGAGTGCCGCGGTCCTCGGAGAGGACACCATTCGAATACAGTCGGGGCGTTGACCTAAGGAACCCTAAATACTCCAGATTTCGTAATAAAAGGGGGGGGGGTCTCATTTCGGGGGGGGGTCGCTTCCAGGCCATCTTGGAGGGCCTGGGGGGGTCTGGGGACGATGTTTTGGAGGGTTCTCCCACGGGGGAGGTCTGAAATGGCTTGTCTTGGAGGGTCCAGACCCCCTCCCTTTGATTACGATATCTGAAGTAAGGAACGAGGCCCCTTTTTTCCATAAGTTAAACTTCGACTTCCTATCGAAAACATAAGGAAAAACCTGAGGCAAGCTGCGAAACACTTAAGCCACGCGGAGCCCCTCCCCAACGAAAAGGGTTTCTTCTTCAGGGCCCCGGCTGTACCATTCTACAGATCCCCATGTTGGCCACATAACAGCACGCTGCGAGTTTGACGCTCCAGCTTCGCTGTTCTAGTCCGCTCGGCGCAAAAAAGCACGCTGCGAGGAAGAGAAAGAGGACGGGAGAGCAGCAACAGCGGGCCGCCAAGGTTTGGCTAGCAATCCGCGCTGGACCCGGCAGCCAAGGCAGTGGCACCCTGCTGCCATCATCCTCGAGGAGGAGGAGGAGGAGGAGAAGGAGGAGGAGGAGGAGGAGGAGGAGGAAGGAAGGTAGGAGGAGGCAAAGCGTTCCCTGGATGAGAGCAGGAGGAGAAGCAGGGGAAGAGTAGAAGGAGGAGGGGAAGAGAGTAGGAGCGGGGGAGGAAGAGGGGGAGGAGGGGGGGGGAATGCGAGAGGAGGAGGAGGAGAGGGGGGAGAGGGAGAAGGAGGAGCAGGAGGAGAAGGCCGAGGAGGAGGAGGACGACGAGCAGGAAGACGAGGCGGAGCACCGACGACGACGAGGAGCCGCGCCCCGGAGGGCCCCCCCGCCCGGAACCTCGGCGGGCGGGGCGCACGCCAGGCGCAGCAGCTCGCAGGACACCGCCGCCCGCGCCGTGTCGGCAGTGCGCTCGTGCAGGTC